AGTCCATTTCAGACCCCCAAACATACATGTACAAACGCACTTACATAAATACACTTACATAATTGGTCGCATTAGGAGCTGATCGTAAAGCGGGGGTCCACTGTATTCTTCAGTGGATCACACTACCTTTATGCCATACTCTATTTTTCTTTCTTTCTTTGGGTCATCCAGCTTTGGTGACAATGACTAATAATGTATTAAGTATCAACAATACAGTACAGAATTATTTGGCACACTTTTTTGTGCATACTGTACAGTAAATCAGAATTCCAGTAGTACATTCAAATGGTGCAAGTCATTTCACTCCAGCATACACCACTTATCTTAAAGTGGATTAATTCCTCGAGAATACTAGATCTTGGTTATGGTTCGTATTTGCATCATTCTACTCTTTACCTTTGTTCTCTGTCAATTTTCTTTCTTTATGCACGTTTTCAAACTCCTCCACGAATTTCAGCAATTTATTTTTTGATTCTGCTAAAGGCACTGTGTCATCAGGAAGGAGCAATTGTGACAACTTCAATTACATATCAGAATTATTATGTATCAAGCACACATTTCTCCCTAAAACTCAAGTATTTACTGGCTTTATAACACCACCTATGAATATAGTACGAAACCAAAGCTTCTATAGAACTCCTCTCTAAGGCCAACTATTTTACTTTATTTATCAACACATCGCCCATTTCCCACCAAGGTAGGGTAGCCTGAAAAAGAAAAACTTTCATCATCATTCACTCCATCACTGTCTTGCCAAAGGTGTGCTTACACTACAATTATAAATCTGCAACATTAACACCCCTCCTTCAAAGTGCAGGCACTGTACTTCCCATCTCCAGGACTCAAGTCTGGCCTGCTGGTTTCATAAGAACATGAAAAAGAAGGAACACTGCAAAAGGCCTACTGGCCCATGTGAGGCAGGTCCAATTCTCCTACTGGCTTAAGCTCATTGACCTAGTGACCTTCAGCTCACCGGCCATCTGACCTCACTGACCTAGTGACCTTCAGCTCACCAGCCATCTGACCTCACTGACCTAGTGAGGTCAGATACATCACTTAAAGCATCCGACCTAGCAGCACAAGCTAGTTAGGTCCAACTCACACCTACCCACACCCACTCATGTATTTATCCAACCTAGTTTTAAAACTACACAACATCTTAGCTTCTATGACAGTACTCGGGAATTTGTTCCACTCGTCCACAACTCTGTTACCAAACCAGTGCTTTCCTACATCCTTCCTGAATCTGAATTTTTCTAATTTAAAACCATTGCTGCGAGTCCTGTATATGTTAGATATTTTTGCCACGCTACTTGCATCTCCTTTATTAATTCCTGTTTTCCATTTATACACCTCAATCATATCCTCCCTAATTCTACGGCTTTCTAGAGAGTGCATATTCAGGGCCCTCAGTCTATCCTCACAGGGAAGATTTCTGATACATGGGATAAATTTTGTCATCCTCCTTTGCACGTTTTCCAGAGCATTGATATCCATTCTGTAATATGGTGACCAGAACTGTGCAGCATAATCTAAATGAGGCCTAACCAAAGATATATAGAGTTGAAGAACAACCTGAGGACTTCTATTATTTATACTTCTTGCTATAAAGCCAAGGATTCTGTTAGCTTTATTGTGAACACTTATGCACTGTTGTCTTGGTTTCAGATTACTGCTAATCAGAACTCCTAAACCCTTTTTGCAATCCATAATATTGAGATCTACATTATTTAGTTTATATGTGGCATGGTTATTTTCCTGTCCAACCATGCCACATATAAACTAAATAATGTAGATCTTAATATTATGGATTGCAAAAAGGATTTAGGAGTTCTGGTTAGCAGTAATATGAAACCAACAGTGCATAAGTGTTCACAATAAGCAACAAATCCCGAACCCCTTTCATAAATATTCCCTTAATCACACTCCCCCATCAAGTCCTAAAAACCCCTTGTCTCCTTTACCCCTATTTAACACGCTCAGCATCTTGCTGAAGTCCAAGCCCCGCAAAACAAAACCTCCTTTAAACCCCCCTCCCCAATTCCCCGGCGGCTCCACCCTGCCTTCCCTCCACTACAGATTTATACACCTTCATCTTTCAATTTTTTCCATCCCTCTACTGAAAAACCACCTCACACCTCAGCCCTCTGAAAAATTTTTGATAATCCCCCCCCCTTCTCCTAACTTCAGACAAAAAACTCTGCATTATATTCACACACACATTCCCTCAACACCATCTCCACTGCTTCCAGCCTTCTCCTTGCGAAACATTCATCACCATGCTTGCACCCATTTAAAAGAGCAATGGAAACTATACTCCATACATTCCCCTTTTTGCTTATATGGACAACTTCTTCATCCCACAGACGCCTAAGTGAAACCCCTCACCTTTTTCCCCTCATCAATTCTATGAGTCACCTCACTTTCTAGACCCATCTGCAAACACCCTTTCCCTAAAATCTGAACACTTCCCCCTCCTCCAATCTGATACCCAAATTTTCTATTACCTAATTTTTTTGATAAATTAGAAAGGGGATCTCTTAAAATGGGGAAAACTTTGCCGCACAGTGGCTTCATCAACCCATTAAAGAAAAACCGAAGAACAGAGGAAAAGAGGTAATCACCCCCAAACCTTGAGTCGATGGGGTCAGTCCATCAGTCTTGAATAGAATACAGCAAAGTAGGGCTGATAAAGCCACAGTGGGGAAAAACGTTTCCTAAATTTAAAGAACCCAAAGAGCTGCACGGAAAATTTATAAACGTTCGGTTCCTGAACCATTCTCTAAAAATCCTGTCAGACACTGCAACCCCTTTGGATTTAATCGGAATTCTTCCTTCCCTAACCCTTGGGCATGACCTACTTCCACATTGGCAAGTGACACCACCTACGACGCTGCACTTCCTCCTAGGGTATATAAGCTCCCCTTTCTCCGCACAATGCTGTATTCTAATAAAGTTTGAGGGACTACCACATCGCTAAAGGGTTTGGGGACTGATTCCCCATTCTCCTTCTGTTCTTCACGTTTACCTTTGTATGGACTGATGAACCCAAATGTTGGCAAACGTTTCCTCAATAAAGATCCCCCAAGTTTTTTTGACATGTGTCTAATTTATCAATGGTTGGTTTCTGAACCTTTTCTTTTTAAAACCTAATTTTTTGTTATCCTCAAAAACCTTACTTTTTCCCCTATATTCCTTTTAATTTCCTTCTTTACATCCCCTCCCAAACTCAAAACCAACCCTTTAAAATTTCTTTTAGAATCTCCCAAAAGCACAATGCATCACAAAGAGAAACCCGAGAACCCCACTTTGTGTCAGATTTTTTACCTTTTAACCCCACCCTTGCCAACACCCAGATCACTTCTCTTTCAACCCGTCATAAATATATTTAACAACCCTGGTGACATCACACATCCGTCTAAGGCCTACTTTTTCTGGAAATAATCCCTTCTCCTACAACTCTAACCACCTCAATATCCTTAAAAACTTTTCATTCTTTCAAAACCACCTCCATTCCATATATTTGCAACATCTGCCACATTGCCTCCCCATCCCCCCTGTCATATGCCTTTTCCAAATCCCTAAATCCCTAAAAACCTCTTTACCTTACAAAACTGTTTACTTATGTTTTACTCTAAACACTTGGGCTACACACCCCTACCTTTCCTAAAGCCTCTTGTTCATCTGCTATCCTACTCTCCCCCTCTTACCTTAATTCTTTTAATAATAACCTACCTAGTAGTAGGGGTTTGGGAAACCGCAACCCCAGGAAGGGACTACCTCCTGCCAAGTGATGTACAACGAAACCGTAATTGTTTTACATGATGGTAGGGCTGCTGGTGTCTTTTTCTGTTCATAAAATCAAATTTCAGTACGCTTGCTACTTCTACTTTCACTTAGGGGCACACTACACATACATGACAAGCATAGTAACACACACCCCCCTGGGTTTTTTTTCTATTTTTTTTCTAGTTCTTTTTCTTGTTTTTTTCCTCTTACCCCATGGGGGAAATGGAACAGAATTCTTCCCCAAAAACCCTGCGGGTTTTTAAGAGGCAACTAAAATGCGGGAGAAAGGGGCTAGTAAACCCCTTCTCCGTAAAATTACAAATGTAAAAGGGGAAAATTTCGTTTTTCCTTTTGGGGCCCCCCCCCTCATGGGATCGCCGGGGTGTTGAAAGAAAGAAAGAATAAATCTCCCCCACACTTTACCAGGTATATTTAACAGACTTATTCCCAAATAATTTTTTCACTCTCTTTTTATCCCCTTTGCCTTTATACAAAGGAACTATGCAATTTTCTGTCAATCCCTAGGGACTTACCTTCTTCCATACATTTATTAAAAATAGCACCCAAACACCCAAAAATATATCCCCACAGCTTTTTAAAATTTCTAACTTTATCCCATCATCCCCGCTTCCCTTTCCCCCCTTTTATTCTACCCACGCCTCATAACTTCCCCCCACATACTGCCACACCACCATCACAACAAACACCAACACAGCACCAAGTATTCAGGGTTTAAATCCCCCTAATACTACAGCCACATACCAAATAATCAGAAAACTTTATTTCACTAGCCTGCTTGAAAGAAGTACTCATCTCTAGGTTGGTGGGGTGATGCCCAGTACAAAGGCAGCAGGAGGCTTTTGCAATACAGGGATGGTGAGAATCCTTGTATAAGTGGCACCACACTGTTCTGGTACTGAAGACCAAGGCACAAGTTGTGTGCCTGTACAACACACAGAAAACCAATATGCATTATCTGTTTCATGATAAATAATATTTATTTTTACAAAAAAGTAAAGACTTTAGAAAAACAATGATTGAATGTGTTAATACTTGATTGTTCCTTAAAATGTGGATTCATCTATGAATCAAAGTGCCACTGACACGATACTAATATACTGCATAGCATCATACAATAAATACTTCTGAACACATATCTAGGTGCAACTATGTATTTATAAAAGGTTAGTAGGAAAGATCTTTGGAGAAAGATGGAGAGTAAGGAAAATAAAGACACAGGTAGCACAGACTCCTTTAAAACAATGTATTGTCTAAGACAAAACTTTGTATTAAAGAATTTTCTGTTACCTGTGTCATTATTTCCACTTGTTATCTTTTGTCTACCTAGAAAGATAGAGAGTAAGGTTTAAACAGAAAGCAAATATTGCTTTCGATGAGATATGTAAAAATTTATAAGCATACTACTAGCGTAATATTACTGTGTAGTGAGTGGTGGAACTTCTCTCCACCAGCTACACATTTATACCATATGCAACAATACTTTATGACTTTGTTTAACAATGAAAGGAACTTTTTAAATGTCTTTGGTACAGTTCAATAAAAACTCTTCTTATTAATGGACTTTTCCTCAATTGGCAATCTCAGACAAAATAGTTGGCTGGACAAATGTTGGAAGTACCAGACAAAATGGACAAAAGTTTATAATTCCAGCAAAAGTGTCAAGTTGCCTTGGGAGATCTCAGATCAAGACTGATAGCTCCAACATTTGTCCAATACAAGCCAGAGTTGCCAAGTTCAAAACTTGACTGTTTTCATTATTTCCTGAGCCTCTGATCACCTACTACTACATTTTATTGTTAGTGCTCACTCACACATTCACTCATTATTCAATCTCTAATTCTTCTTTGATTCAGAGTGTCCTGTGTGACTTTATTAACATATTACATAAAGTGCAATTAACAATGGCTTCTAAGGCAAGCAGTGGAGCCAAGAGGAAACATGTGGTTCTCAGTGTTTAGCAGAAACTTGAACTACTCCTATTCCATTCCTAAAAATAGGCCAGTCAGTGGACTGGTCATTAAGCAAGAAGCATACTATACTGGTAGTGGGTTTGTGTCAACCATCTTTAGATATTGCTTTAAACCCCCTTTGCACCTTTAAACTTTTTGTTAAATTTTTAAAATTTTTTACAGTATGTACTGACAGTGGCTGCAAAAAA